CAGTGATTTCTAAAATGTGTACTGGGAACATTGCTGTTGTCTTGACCTTTTTTTCTGGGTCATATGATACTATACATATGTTTCTTTCCAGCCTCACTGACCAAATATCCAATTTCTGTAAGTATTTGGAGACTGAGGGGAACCCCCACAGTGGGGACAAGAAAGAATATGCATGCCTAGTACTTTAAAATCATTTCAACTCAACCTTTAATTGGGAATAATTTTCTGAATGTGAACTGCAAAGGTTAATTGTCTTTATCCACTGTTGATGATGGACCCTGCCTAAAAGATGGGGAGCCAGAGGGGTTGGAATGGAGGGGGAAGAAAGAGCTGTTCATAAAAGAAGACAAAACTCAGTATCCACAGGAAGATGTCCTTCTCTTAAGCAGAAGAATGAATAAGTGAAGTAGAGTATGCTAAAAATATATCATTTGTTAGAGTACTATTTTTCATTATGGAATGACTAATTTATAACAGAAATATAACCACCTACTTACACTCATCAAAAATCCTCCTACACTATACTGAGCATGACTTTCCTTGGCTCTATCTTATTTAAAACAATCAGAATTGTTCCGAGTTTTAACTTTACTGTTTGATTTAAATTGTGAAGTGATCTAAAAGACTATTTAGCTTAAAACCACTATATTGTTGAATCAACCTCTTGTTCAAATTTTTCTGGATTCTTTGTGTGAGTTTCTTCATGACATATGAAGTATCTTCCTAATGAAGAACCTGTTATGCACTGGATGGTTTTATTATCACAGATCATCATCATCATCATCTGTGGCCAGTTTTATACAGTTAAGTTTGGTATTTTTATTTCACCTGGAAATGTGAAACTATAACAGACTTGAAGGATAATTATTGCCAAATGACATGGCTAGGTTTGCGATGTGATTCAGATATATAGTGTACCGTATTTTAATGGTTCTTTCATATTAAGTGGCACTAATTACAAGACACCCCAAACACATTTCTAGAAACAAACATTTTGGGATTCTAATGGAAAATTCTAATTTAGCATCCAAACAGCAACTTCAGGTTGAAAGCACTGGTTTGAAAACAGGTTATTACAGTATGTAAACAATACCATATTTATAATACTTTTAATTTACAAAGCAACTTTCTTTCAGAGAGATATCATGGATGCTTTATGGACTATTTAAAATGCTATCACCTATTATCCGAGTGTGTAGACACATTTTGATGACTAAATTAACATAAGAGGAAAGATTGTAAAATATGCTTTAAGAGCTGTAGACCACACAGCCAGAAAAATGTGAAGGACAAAATCTATAACTATCTATTCAGTGTTGCTATGACTCACACAATTTATTGAAATCTAGGAAATTTAAAAGCCTCTGTACTGTTTATAAATCCAGACTGCACTATTTTCATGTGAAGAAAACCATAGTTTAACATCAGTTCTTGATAAGAGTTAATATATACAGAGGAATAACATACATATATTACAACATACCAGCCAAAGACCTATAGAAATATACACTCACATATCTACACACACTTTAAATAGAAACAGCTCAACACACGAAAACTAAGGATGTAGTGCAAACATTCAGAGAAAATAACCATAATTGAGTTCATTTTATGGTGGAACTGCTTTAAAAGAAAATACCACAAGGTTGTGAATTAAAAGTCAGAGGAAAGTTCACAGATGCCATCTGAGACAGAAGATGAAACAGATCAAAAGGAAAAGCAGAGCAGTCCAAAAATCTCTGGATGAGTACTCTCTCTCTGTCCCCAGTACTGATCCATTTCATCAGGAATTCATGCACGGATTAATAAAGTGAAAGTCATAACTACCCTCATTAGCAGGTCTTGCACACAATTTTTGGTTCAGTTTTGCACAAAAACTGACCTTTCAAAATGGATATAGAATTCATAGCAATCATAATAAAGAGCATATTTCAAATTGACATTCAGTGTCTGACCTCAGTTTATCAGAATCTCTCTCTTGGTGGTAATGTAATTGTAATACATTATACAACAAGCACACCTGATGTATAGTATTAATCAGAGTTTAGTCTGGTGATTTCCTAAATTCACTTGCACATACTAGGTGCTAAACTTGATGCTAAAATAAAAATCTGCTATCCTGCACTAAGCCACTGTCCCCCCGTTTCTAAAATTCCTGGAAAAAGTAGCTGCAGGGTCTTGGGTTAGGAACACATTGTGCATGTCAGCCCTCAGAGTAATATGATGAGGGTAGTCAGAGGAGATTGCTAGAGCTCCAGAGCTTACAGCTGGCTGATGTCTAAACATAAGCAGCTAGATCCTTTGGTTGGGTTGAGCTTGGACCTGAAGGAGATGGGTGGGAACCACAAAGATACCACCTTTGGTGCTCCCTGATCACAGAGCTGGAAAGGAGTTCATTCAGCCTTTGCACAACTTAGAGCAGCATTGGGCTGCTCTTTATTATGTCTGGCTACAATGGAGAGAGTTTACTCAGGTAGGAATGGTCAGAGTTCGATACAGCTTTGTCCATATCTTCTGGACTGGTGGGACAATGGCGGACGTAGTTGAATCCCAAGATGTCCATGAAATCCAGCTTTAAGTCTGCTTTGCATCATTGGAGTGGTACTAAAGGGGGCATAGTAGAACAGAGGATCTAGCTCACTGGGAAAAATCCATCCCACTGAAGTCAATGTAGTAACTCAAATTCAGCCCTGGTGTAACTAGCCACCCCCATATGACCCCCCCCCCCACACACACACACACAGGTAATTCATGCACAGCAACAAATCCCATGTGCTAGGCAAACAGATCTTTCCACTGCTTAGTGCACCATTTAAAGTTTGAGAGCCTTCCCCACCCACCACAAGCTTTTTTTTTTTTTTTTTACACTAAAGATGTTCATACAAGTAAACTGAACCAATGAGCCTGAGTCATGGGGCAAGTATGGAAGGGTGCCAAAGAGGCTAAGTAAAGATAGGTATCGCAACTCTAGGAGTATCAGCTTTAGGAAGGCAGGGTTTTTTTGCAGATCTTATTCTTATGGAAGAAGGGGGGGGGGATTTTTTCCAAAACCGCTGATGCTCTCTTTAAACCAATCAAGAAAAACTAACATTGGGGATCACTTTCCATCCATGCTGCTTTTCTCAAGGTTGCCCACTGTATAATCCCTGCAACACTGGACTTAATTGCAAAGTCGATTGCCAGAACACCCTTGCAGCGGTGAAGCATCTGGCAGTCCCCAAGCAGTGGTAATTCCTACGAAGTGCCACCCATTTTTAGGATTCACACAATATCCAGTGGCGCTTTTTCAATCACTTACGTTAAACTTTCCCACAGCGACTTGACTGCAGGGCTCATCCGGTGTCTTCCTACCACTGTCCTAAAATTAAACTGAGCTCTAATTAAACTCCTGAAAAGGCTGAGAAGGGAGATGGTTCGCCAGAGGGTCCCTTGTAGCAGGCTCGGTTCAGGGATGAAAAATGCGTGAACTACCGCCTACTGCTCAGTGACTTCCAAACAGGCGTTTGTTTCACCCGCTCAGCGGTCATGAAACCTGGCACTTAAAACACCAACATTTTGTGTTTATCTTTTACGGGGGGGTTCATATTGTTTACAAGCAAGGCTTGGAGAGAGAGAGAGAGACACACACTGTTCACAAGTACTTTCAGATTCGGCGTATCTTAAGGCAAAGATGCCCACGGAAGCTCCTCGATACTTGGCAGAGTTGAACCTCGCTGCGAAAGAAGGCGCGAAGTCCGCCGTGTAGTTTTGGGGATGTTGCGAGATTAAGTGACGGGGAGGACCCCCACTCTCCCCCCCCCCCCGCTATCATTTCCCTAACTCCGCAGTGCTGTTTAAATCTACCTCATGGTATGGTGGTCCCTCCCCTGCCCCTTCTCTCAGGCCGTCTTCTCTTTAAACCCCTCATCCCCACTATATACCCCAAGGAGACCCCTGAAGATCCTCGAAACCTCTCCCGGGGTTTTTTGTTCCTCTATTTCCTGCTTTTGATCGGTTTTCCCCATTATTTTTCCTCCTCTCCCCCCTCCCCCCCCCCCCGAATACACCCCTCTCCCTCGCTCAGCTTCCACCCCAGATTTCGCCCCTGCCCCCCCCCGTTTGTGTCGCCCCCCGTTCTGCTCACTCAGGGCGGGGCCGACCCCAGCCGCAGGTGAGGGCAGAGTCTTCACTGGCGCCAAGGGGCACGCTCGGCTCCCAGGCATGCTCTCCAGCAGCGGGGGAGCAAAACCGTGACACGACACAGTCCCCATGGAAAGTTGCACTGCTCGAAAAGGCCACCGAGCGGACCCTTCGTTAAGCTTTCGCTACTTCTGCATCCCAGCCAAGCCCCCTCCGTGTCCTCCACGCTTGGTGTTATTCGTTTTCCTGAGCTGTTCCCGGAGCCCCCCGTGTCTCTGTAGCTCATGGGGGGGGGGGGGGGGGTAAATCCTTTGCCTAGGCACCGCGTAGGAGAAGGGAACTCTAAATCGGCGAGTGGGAACAAGGAAGAGCAAAATCTAGCAGAGAAGGCGTAAGCCACCCTACCGATCCGGGCATTATTGATAGGCTGGCTGCATCTCTAAAAATAAAGATTTTTTTAGCAGGAGATGCCCAGGCTGGGAGAGAGGGAGCCTTTCGAGAGAACTTCTACTGGAAAATCCGCAGCCGCTGGAAAAATCTGAGGCCGCTTCGCGGGGTGAGATTAATGGACACACTGCGCTCTGGCTCCGTGCCCCAAGTGTGGCTGGAACTGGCGAGGGGACAGGGGCTATCATCAGCATCCTCCTCCTCTTCCAGGCGGAGGGGGAAAGAAGCGGAGTCCGACTGTACACCCTCATCTCCAGAGAGCCGCCTCCTCCTCCTCTCCCCCCCCCCTCCCAGCCCAGGACGGCTGTGTGCCTCCGTTCCCACCCTCCCCTACCCCACTCACCGGCACCCGAAGCGCCTCCAACTCCTCTAGCAGAGCCAGGAGCAAGGCAGGAGAGGGGAAGAGAAAACAAAACACCCGGAGCATCACGTACCTTGAGCTCCTCAATGTCCAGGCTTGTGGATCGGTCCATAGAATGAAACTAAACGACACGGAGGCGACCCGCGGAAGTTGTGCCAAAATTTAAAAAAATAAAAATAATAATAAAAAAAAATCTAGACTCCCCCTTTCCAGCCCAAACTCAGCCTTGTCCTCCAAACCCTGGCAGCTCCTCTCAGTCTCATTCTCCGTGATCACGCCTCCTCCACCGGTTAAAAATAAATAAAATAAAATAATTCACTTTTTTACTCCCTGACGGATTATAGAGACAGGTGATCTTTTCCCGGTAAATCCCGTGTCAATGAAAGGAGGAGAGAAGCCAAAAATAATAAAAAAATCCACTCAGTTTCAACTGACTACTTCTTCGTCTGCAATAAGCTTAGAAAGCAGCGAACTGCTGCATCCCAAGGAAAAAATCTGCTTCACTGGACAGCATCCTGCAGCAAATTTCAGGCAAATGTGTTCAAATTGATGAGAAGAGTATATCATGACAGCCTGTCTCCGTTATTCTGGTAGCTAATGTAGCACCTGTGAGCCTCAGACATTAGCAATGATCAATTTCACCAGAAAGAAAATCCGCCAAGTCCTGCCTAGACTCAAAAAATTGTTTTGCTGCTAAAGATATTTTCTCAATAAAAATAAAGATAAGAAAGTCTGTAGGGAATGGTCTCCTTTGAAGGGTTATGCTAGAAGAGTTGAGAGGAAATTAGGAGGTGGATCTCTTTGCAGAAAAGCGAGAGAAAGGGGGAAAGAGATTTTTTCCCCTTCTTTCCTGTTTTACTGTCCTTCACCGCCAGGTGACTGACTTCACTTCTCTCCTCTCATGGCCAACACTGAGGGGATTTCTCTCATCTGTCAAAAAGCAACATTTCCTTTCTCGACAAATACAACCTCTGGGTCTTAAAGCCTGGTCGCCGCTGCCACTCTATGCATTAGCCTGCCGGCATTTTAATGTATCTGTCCCTTTTTTATCATTCGTAGATTGCAAGCAGATATAATCACGCTGGATCACTTAGGATACAAGTACCTCCTTGGATATTTTGCCCCATGTAGGGGAGATCTTTAAATAAGCAAATGTATTGAATATCACAGCAGAGGTACTGCTATTTCCCTCACATTTAAAAAAAAAAAGAACATTGCTTGCAAAATTAAACACAGGGGCTGGTACCTTTCACTGAATTTTATTGGTAAAATACATGTTTTTTTGTAGAATTGTTGATCTTATTATTAATGCGAAATGGGCAGTAGTTTTGGCAGAACAACCTGTTTGATGTCGCATGGATATAAAAATCAGGATACCTCTCTATTTATTACTTTAGTAATTTCCTTTCTTTTTCTAAAGGATTCAGTGTGCTGAGGTTCTCATGGGACATTAAGCTGTAAATAGAATCAAAATTAGATTTAAAAAAAATTCAAATTCCTCCCCACCAGGATCTTGATTTGATCAAACTCATTTTTTCCCCCTGCATTCTGACTGCCACTTGCAGGGTTTTAAAAATAAGACTGTCCATCTGATTTCTGTTTTCCTACCTTCAATCTTTTTGGGGCCGTCTTTTTAAATTAACTCTTTGACTGACAGATTCTGAACAGGCATATTCTTGTACTATTGCCCTCTCCTATTGTACATATTCTACATTAATATCATTGCAGTTTTTTAACATCGTAGACACATTTAATAATTCCAAGCATATAATATATATTTTAGTTCAATAAGGGCTTATTTTTTTAGTCTGCTATTCAAGGTCAACAGAAGGTTAAACTAAGGGTGGCTGTGCCACATTCCAACTATGGGACATTGCGCATATCTTCTAGAATCAACTATAGAGATGAGGCAAAGACAGGCAAAGGACACTTCTCATCTTAGAACAAACTGTGTGTGACTTAATGGTGCATTCACAATGAATCTGAATATATACTTAATCAAAATAGAACTGCAATTTGCAAAGATTAAGGACCTGATCCTACATGCCAACTATGTCTAAATAGAGGACTGGAAAACTGGACACTAAACAAGTTACTGTAGGACCTATAGAAATAGTAATTTAAAATTATCTTTGCTCTGATAAAATTTGCACATAACCATTTATTATTTAGACAGAAATTGTGCAAGAGACCTGTCTTAACTAGGACACTTCCTCTCTTAAAAGGTATCAGAGGGGTAGCCGTGTTAGTCTGGATCTGTAAAAGCGGCAAAGAGTCCTGTGGCACCATATAGACTAACAGATGTATTGGAGCACAGGCTTTCATGCATCTGACGAAGTGGGAAAGCCTATGCTCCAATACATCTGTTAGTCTATATGGTGCCACAGGACCTTTTGCCTCTCTTAAAAAGATATTCCTAAAACATCCCCCAAAATATCAGATCTAATTCTAGTCTACCTTTATTAAAACCATATAAACTTCTGATAAAAATGGTCCCTTGAATGGACATTTAAAGTAAGTTTTAGTTGATATTACATACCAAAACTAGCTTAAAATAAAGTTATTAGGTTGCAAAGTCAGTCACTCAAGTGTTTGGAAATGCACAATTTTAGGTTTCTCCTGAAACCTTAATTCTGCCTTCTTGTGAATATTCATTGTGAGAGTATGTGATTATGTAATTAGTGTCTAAGTTCTTTCTACAGGAGCTCTGCCTCTTATAATGAAAAGAGTGACTCGGCTAATCCATACCTTTTTTCATCCTCACTATTTAATGTGTGGCCCCATGTTTTATTTACTGCACATCATCCAAACCCTGAACTGAATATTGAATTAATTTCCTCGGGCTTTTCTAAGGCATTTTTCATGGTAGTACCTGTGTGTTTCACAAACACCAATGGATTTATCTTCAGAATTCCCCTGTGAGATAGAAATTTTCATCCCCATTAAATAGATGGGGAAATGTATTAAGAGAAATAGAGCAAAGAGGAGCTAAGTAATTGAGTTGGTTCCTGAAGTTTGTTTCGACTGTGCTTACCATTTGAGTTGACAGATGAGGTAGAAAGATGTTTTCTAAGAGAATGAGACTAGTGCCGATTTTCCCCCTATTTGCCACAGGTTTACTTTTTATATAAACCAATAAAGATAGCGCATTTATAGACATTTTATCTGTTTGTAGTCCCCTGAATTGGAATAGCATATAAGTTCAATGCTAATTCTAACCCCCCCCCAAAAAAAACAAAACAAAAAAAACAAACAAAAAACAGAATACAGGTGCACAATATCTCAGCTTGTAGCCTAGAGTTTGTGTTTCCCAGGCTACCCCATCCCTGCCATTCTGGAAGATTTTACGTTTCCCTGCGTACTGCAGCATGAGTAATATAATAAGACAGACTGACAAGAAACAGCCTAGAAAGTAATAACAAAGTTTTGATTGAATTAGTGATGAATAAACTTCAGAAGGTTTGGACATTTGCTATGGTTAAGGTCAAATGCTTACCCAAACTTTTCCTTTCTTCCATTCAGCAATACCAATTCAGCAATTGCATTTGGTACTCTCTGCTAGGTACTCTCCATATGTTCACACCCCCCTACAACTCTCCAGATGACTACTTGTAAATGGTTACCTGCTACATCCCCTATATAAGGCCTATTTCAAGCCTGGCAAGAAGGAAGGCGGCTCATTTCTGAATTCTTTCTAATCTAGACATTTTGAGGTTCAGATTCATTTTTATTCCTAAATATAATCCTCTGCGTGCTATGCTATGTTAATAGGCATCTTCCAATTCTGAAAAAATTATAAAATATTAATGTCTAGCTTTCAAATTAAGCTACAAAACACAGCAAGGATTGTGTTAGTCAGAGACAAAACATGACTGTTACACAGGCTTTGGAATATATTTTTAAATAGCAAGCAGAAACAATGCTATCCCTTGTTGTGAAGAAAGATGTATCCTTGCACTAAGCATAGTTAAGTAATTCAAGTGTATATAAAAAAAGAAAAGGAGTACTTGTGGCACCTTGGAGACTAACCAATTTGAGCATAAGCTTTCATGAGCTACAGCTCACTTCATTGGAGGCATTCAGTGGAAAATACAGTGGGGAGATTTATATACATAGAGAACATGAAACAATGGGTGTTACCATACATACTGTAACCAGAGTGATCACTTAAGGTGAGCTATTATGAGCAGGAGAGCGGGGGGGGGGGGGGGGCGGGGGAACCTTTTGTAGTGATAATCAAGGTGGGCCATTTCCAGCCGTTGACAAGAACATCTGAGGAACAGCGGGGGGTGGGGGAAGAGAATAAACATGGGGAAATAGTTTGACTTTGTGTAATGATCCATCCACTCCCAGTCTCTATTCAAGCCTAAGTTAATTGTATCCAGTTTGCAAATTAATTCCAATTCAACAGTCTCTCGCTGGAGTCTGTTTCTGAAGGTTTTTTTGTTGAAGTATTGCCACTTTTAGGTCTGTAATCAAGTGACCAGAGAGATTGAAGTGTTCTCCGACTGGTTTTTGAATGTTATAATTCTTGACATCTGATTTGTGTCCATTTATTCTTTTACATAGAGACTGTCCAGTTTGACCAATGTACGTGGCAGAGGGCGTATGCTACCAGCACTCCCGGCTATCTTTGAGATACCAGTGACTTCCTGAGGAAACTACAATCCATTGGTGATCTTCCTGAAAACACTATCCTGGCCACTATGGATGTAGAAGCCCTCTACGCCAACATTCCACACAAAGATGGACTACAAGCCATCAAGAATAGTATCCCCGATAATGTCAGGGCAAACCTGGTGGCTGAACTTTGTGACTTCGTCCTCACCCATAACTATTTCACATTTGGCGGCAATGTATACCTTCAGATCAGCGGCACTGCTATGAGTACCTGCATGGCCCCACAGTATGCCAACATTTTTATGGCTGACTTAGAACAGTGCTTCCTCAGCTCTCGTCCCCTAATGCCCCTACTCTACTTGCGCTACATTGATGACATCTTCATCATCTGGACCCATGGAAAAGAAGCCCTTGAGGAATACCACCATGATTTCAACAAATTTCCATCCCACCATCAACCTCTGCCTGCACCAGTCCACATAAGAGATCCACTTCATCGCTTATTAGCACCGTAGTGTCCAGGGTCACAACCACTACCTTATACCGGAAACCTACTGACCGCTATTCTTACCTACATGCCTCCAGCTTTCATCCAGACCACACCACACAATCCATTGTCTACAGCCAAGCTCTACGATACAAGTGCATTTGCTCCAATCCCTCAGAGAGAGGCAAACACCTACAAGATCTCTATCAAGCATTCTTACAACTACAATACCCACCTGCAGAAGTGAAGAAACAGATTGACAGAGCCAGAAGAGTACCCAGAAGTCACCTACTACAGGACAGGCCCAACAAAGAAAATAACAGAACGCCACTAGCCATCACCTTCAGCCCCCAACTAAAACCTCTCCAATGCATCATCAAGGATTTGCAACCTATCCTGAAGGACGACCCATCACTCTCACAGATCTTGGGAGACAGGCCAGTCCTTGCTTCCAGACAGCCCCCCAACCTGAAGCAAATACTCACTAGCAACCACACAACAGAACCACTAACCCAGGAACAAAAAGAAAAGGAGTACTTGTGGCACCTTAGAGACTAACCAATTTATTTGAGCATTGGTTATTAAATTGGTTAGTCTCTAAGGTGCCACAAGTACTCCTTTTCTTTTTGCGAATACAGACTAACACGGCTGTTCCTCTGTAACCCAGGAACCTATCCTTGCAACAAAGCCCGTTGCCAACTGTGTCCACATATCTATTCAGGGGACACCATCATAGGGCCTAATCACATCAGCCACACTATCAGAGGCTCGTTCATCTGCACATCTATCAATGTGACTTATGC